GAAAACAAAATATAAATTCTGTAAATAATTCTACTTCGCCTTTACATGTGTCCTGCTTTATTTAAAAACATTAACATTTCTGCAATGAAAAACACTTTTGATGCAAGATGGTTATTATAGTTAACAATTTTTTTAAATATTGAGTTTTTAGTGTTTTTCTCAAAAACAAATTTTTTAAAAATTCATTTCCCTTTTTATTGTTTGTATGTGAGATAAGAATTGTAACTCTCTCATTTATTAGGTAAACAGGAACTGAAAACATTGTTCATGTGAATGAATAAGCCACAGAAATACAACCTCAATTATGGGTTGCATTTAAAACATGAAATTGTCATGTACTTGTAAGAAGATGTATGATTTGGGAAAAGTAAAAGTTTTTTAGCTACTTTGAGGAGTAATTTTGCCTCCTTTGTACTAGTTTATTTGATTTACCAACATGAATTCTGAGGTTAGAATATCTTAGAAGTCACTTTTTTCATACCATTTATTTTACACTTAGTAAGTTTCTGTTATATGTAAACCACTATTAATGATTTCACAAGAAATAGCAAGAGGAATCCAAAATGTATAACTTTCATATAGTATATTGCTTCCTATTTTGTCAAGATTACCAATTATTTTTAATAATGGGGCTTTTTAAATGAAAATGATATTGTAGACATCTGGGGAACCAAAAAAGTATTTCTTAAAAAAGAAAATAAAATTTTCTATTATCCCACTATCCTTGTACACAGGCATATTTTCTAATCTCTTTTCAATATACACATACTTTTTTAGAGTAGTGGCATAATGCAATTTATAATATTCTGCTTACTGCCTTTTTACTTAACATGTGAGCATTTTGCGTGACAAGGAAAATTTTTCAGATTCATGATTTTGATGACTACATGATTTCACCTTATAAGTGTGCCATCATAGTTAACTTTTCCACTCTTGGTCACTTAGATTATTTATAAGCCTGTCACTATAAATATCCCATAGAGTCATTCTTAATTCTAAGGAGTTTTTGAACCAATATTGACCCTCATCCCAGAGTCTACTCTTGCCTCTCTGATACCTATATCTTCAAACTTGCTTGTAATTAAGCAAAAGCCACCATCACTTTCTCACAAGTATTCCTGGACATGTGCTATTCAAAGGACTTATTAAAAACAGTGATCTCTACTAAGTAGCCAAGTGTATTCTTTATTGAAATTTGAAGCTATTAAGATAGATGACCCTTCACTACACATTCACAGACACCACTATCTTGATGGAGTACACATTTCTGGCAAAAAAAAAAAGCAGCAACAGAAAAACATTTCAACCAGTGGAAAATACCCAGAGGCCTTTGCCCAAAGATAAAATTCTAACAGCTCTGCCTTCATTTTTAATCTGTAAAGTAAACAAAAACCACATATTCTACATAAAGGTGAGACACACATGTTGACAAAATGTTTTAATGATTCTTATTTTTAATGTGCATGTTCTAGTTGAAGGATATTGAGTATAGGAGTTCAGCTGTGTGCTGCTGTCCAATCTGATTGCCACCAGCCATTTATGTTTGTTGAGCCCTAAGAAGTGAGGCTGGTAGAATGCAGAGGTGTTGGCATGTAAATACATACCAGATGTCAAACACTTAATACAAAAAAGACTGTACAATATTTTCTATTGATTATATACTAAGACAGAATATGTTTGATATATTTGGCTAAGAAGACTGTATTATTACCTTGATCTCACTTTTTTTGTTTATGTTTTTACATGTGATTATGAGAAAATCTAAAATTGCATATGCAGTTCACATTATATTACTGTTGAATGGCACTGGTATAGAAATTTAAATGTTAGTCTTGATACATACACTATCTTATTTCTATATGAATTTGAAAACATCAGTACAATATAGGGCAAGGGATATAGGCCACTTGCTTAACATGTGTGAAGCCCTGGATTCTATCCCCATCATTGCAAAGATAAAGAGGAGGGGGAAAGAGGGAAGAGAAGAAAGATAGAGGACAATATGTATGTTGGGTAGCTGCAACTATATGACCAAATTGAGTGAAGAATTAAGTCTACTGCAATTTTTCTCAACATGAGTTCCCACTGTATAAAATATTATAAGCGTAATTTTCATTACAATACATAATCTTTCTTTCTACTCCCCCCCTTCCCTATCTACCTCACATACCCATTAGCAGCCTTTCTTATGTACCTTGAGTAGACAGTATCATCCCCAAATACATACTTGCTACTAAGTCATATAAATTTGACAATGTTATTACCTTTTCCAGGGCATTTGCCTTTTATACTTTCCCTTTAAATATAGTATTTAAAGTATTTTTTGTGATTATTGAAGAAATTTAAAGCATCAATAAGAACTGGTGAAGTCATTCATTATGTCTCAGTTTAAGATCTGCCATATATTTATTTTACTATCAACAAATACCTTTAAATGTCCTGTGTACGGACTGAAAGAACATTGTGTACTCTTTAAGGTGACAGCTAGAAGTTAGACTGATTGCTTTGCATTCTGTAGTTTTGAAGAAATAAATAGGTAGGTGACCTGAATGATCACAGCAGTTCTATTTAGGCTGCAGTTCCTTTATGCAGAGATCCTAAGTAGTCAGAAAGAAGACCTGGCCCAGGATTATAAGAAAATGCAATAAGATGCTGACTTCATGTCCTAAAATGATCAAATTCTATTTTAGTACAAGAATCAAAGGAAATCAAAGAATTAGTCATGGAGCTGTACTCCAATTAACTTATTCATAGGAAGTGAATTTTAGTAATCCCCTGTGAAATAGTACACTCAGTAATATTTGATGGATAAAGTACAGCATTGGCAAAAATCCAAAGTTTAGTCAGAAATCCATGCCATTAAGTATTAAGTGTTAATCTTTTTTGTAAAAAAAAAAATAGTGGCTTCTCACAGGATGAAATATGAATCTTAATTACTAGGGACAGGGTGGATTGACTTAGTCACTGTCCGTTACACTGCCAGAGCATTAACATTGCATTTCAGGATCAATTACTCTGTGATAGCAATAACAGCACTCTTAGGAAACACTGTCTCAAAGGACTTGCACTGAAGGGAACCTTTCCTGCTGTCCAGGTCAAGCAGGTGATGGCAAGTGATAGCTACTGTACATAGCTGGGACTCAAATAATTGATTTGATGGTTCCCCTTTTATATATTTTCATTGGCAATTCAGGTCATCATTTTTATGACTTGAGGAGTTTACTTTTAACTCCATGATAGTGTGATATGCAAGAGTAGAGTTCTCATGACATAAATTATTCACTAACTCATGTATCTATTCTTGTCTGCTCAGTGCAGAGGGAGCCCTGGTCAGACAGCCTGGCTAGGACTTCTAAGGAGTGTGATCTGAGCTACACCCATCTCCTCTTGTGTGTAAGAGACTGGTTGTATCTGTTCTACTATTCTTTGGAGAGATATTTTGACAATTAATTAATGATCATTTTTGTTAGATGACCTTAGCACTGCCCTCAGCTTTGTTTGAAATGCAATGAGATATGTTAGAGGAGAAAACATATGGACTATAAACAGGGTTCTAATTTTGGTGGGGCCATGCATTTACATTAAAGATTTCTGTGGGAAATTTGTTTGAGATGTAATTTGCCTATGCCTTTCTCTTTCTGTCCATTCACCCATTCAAAAAATTTTAGCCGGAAGTGGTAACACACATCTATAATCCTAGCACACAGCACTCGGAGGCTGAGAAGGAAGGATTACCTTGAGTTCCAGGCCAGCCCAGGCTACATTGTGAGTTCAAGGCCAACCTGAACTGTATAGGGAGATCTTGTCTCAAAAACATTTTTTTATTACAGTAAAAGACACATTCCCATTAATCCCCTCAAGGTACTCCCCCTCACCTCAAACACACTTATCCTAGCATTCTTGTCACTTCCTGAAGCAATCCTGGAAGTCTTCTTTCATGAGTATCTTTATGAGGTGTGAGTAAAAAAAAAAATTGGTGAATGCTTCTGCTGAGTGCCATCCCATGAAAATGTGGGCTTGTAAAAACATGGTATGTCCTCATCCTCCTTATTCACTGGATCTGACATTGTATGTCTTCTTGCTCTTTCCAAAAGTCAAAATGACCATGAAAGGTAAATGCTTTGAATCAATTTCAGATTTTGAGGCAGCCATGACTGAATAATTAAAGACACTTATAAATATAATTATAAGTGAAAATATTAAATAGTTTTTATTGGAAATCTAGTACATTGTCTGGAATGTAGTTAGTGCTCGATAAGTGAATATTAGTTTAATCCCCAACCCATCTTCTCTGTACCTGGAGGGGGAAAGTATAAAATTCAAAGCAAGACACTTCAGTTACTTATTCTTGAAACATTTTAAATATGATATGTCATTACTAAGTATAGTTGATTCCAGATTTTTACTGCTTGTCTAGTCTCCCTTTATATAATAACAGAATTTTTCATAATAGTCCCAAACAAGCAACAGACTAAATAGTCCAGAAGAAGCAAATACATAAAGACATTTAGTAGACTAGTTGCTTCCAGGGACTATGGGGAGCAGGGATAGTGGGTGAATGCTAGAGTATATGGCATTCCATTTGGAGGTGATAAAAATGTTCTAAAAAATGATGGTAGTGATGGTTGCACAATTCTTTGAATATGCTAAAACTCATTGAATTGCCCACTTTAAATAGGTGAATTATATGATACATGACTATAGCTTAATAAAATTGTCATAAAGTAAATACTATTTAAATGTAGTACACTTAAAATAATGTTTATCTTAAGGATTGCTGGTGCATACCCTTTGTTGCAAACGAAGGTAGCTAGTAACAATAATTTAATTGATCCAAAATTAAGTGAGGGAAAGCAGTGTTGTAAAAATACTATCATTTCCATTTCCTCATTGATTACTCAAAATCTTCAGTTAAGTGAGAGGAGAAAATAGATTGTACAAATTCAGGCTCATTGAGTTAACAACAAATAGTGTTGATAGATTTAATTTTATTGTTTTAGGTCCTAAACTTAGTGCAGTCCTACGTGACCCTGCGAGTTCCTCTGTATGTTTCCTATGTGTTCCATTCCCCAGTTGGGGTAGGAGGCTGGCAGCATTTCGATTTGAAGTCAGAGCTTCGTCTGACTTTTGTGTATGACACTGCCATCTTGTGGAATGATGGGATTGGCAGCCCACCAGAAGCTGAACTCCAAGGTGGGTTGAAAAGACTTTTCTTACCTATTTGAATGACATAAGAGAATTTGTTTTAACTGTAGCAAAAAATAATAGAAGCAACTTACAATATATTTTCTTATTCTATTCATTAATCAAATAATTTCACTTTTGTTGTGGAAAAATTCTTGTTAAATGCAATTATATCAATGCCTCAAAATTTGTATAGTACATGATTGCTAAATATAACTTTATACATTTCATGAATATTTTTGTCTAGCAGTTCACCTTAGATGATTAATCATGTAGGTATCACACAACACAATCTACGATCTACATGGGTTCTAGAAAATGGATAGAGGAAATTTCAACTGAAAATAAGGGATGAATGCAAGGGTAAAAGTTATGCAATTTTCTTTCTTAAAATGAAAGATGCATGGTAAAATCTACTATAAACTATGTCCTATATAGTAGTTTTGACTCTCCAACTATCTAGCTGTGTGATCTCAAGCATATTGCTTAAACTACCTGGTACTTACTTTCTTTTGAATGATAGACAAACCTCCAGTATCTCTTTCCAATTTAAAATTCTGTTATTCTGTGATACTTTAGTCAAATGTCTTTGTAACTGGTCATTGAATTCAACTAACTGTGGAGTCCAAAGGCTCTGCAAAATTTTGTTTCAATCTCCATATCAGAGTCATAATTCAGAGTCCACAAGTTTAAAGCTAATTAATCCATTTGTACAATTAGTGCGTTCTCTTTTTAGCCTTATACAATATTACTATTCTGTTTCCATGAATATCTAAAGCATCATCCCAGCTGTACATTTATTAAATAGAAATAATATATATTGATAGCACATCTCATATATGAATCTACTAGGGTTTAAAGTACCTTAGAGTTATGTGACAAGTAATATGATCACCCTATACAATCATTCCAGATTATGTCAAGTATTTTAACTCTACATTTCACCTTAGAAAATAGTTTGGGTTTTTTTTGTGTTTTTTTTTTTGGTACCAGGGATCGCACTTGAGTCCTTCCGCTTGCAAGGCAGGCAGCGGAACCACTGAGCTAAATCCCTGGCCCAGAAAATGTATTTTTAAATGAATCTTAATGAGGACTTTTCTGTGATCCTCAACATTTGCATTAAGGATCTGTTGTTTGCTTCTTATATCCAGAGCTAAATTTTGTCTAACTGTTAACATTTCTTGGAGAAGTTTTAGTTTTCTGTAAGCCTGTAAAATTTGCAATCATTCTGAAAAATGCAGGCCCAGTTCCACTTACATGTCCAGGTCTCTACAATTTTGACTACTTCATCATGTCTCTCAATTTATAGCTTCATATTTGTAAACTAAAGCTTAAAAAAAGAGCCTATGGTAATTAATCTGTGTATTTGACAGTAACCTAATTCATATTGCCTTCCTTATAGACATCTTTTATCCTTAGAAAAAGAAAACGAAGAAACTTCTGCCACTTTTATTATTCACATTTCTTCTAACAATACCATTGGCCTAGAATACTTCAAGATGAAACAGATCTGAATTAAGTTTTGGAAAGAATCTGTACATTAGCAGTCTATAGTCACCTGTATTTCCACCCTTTGTAGGTTCTCTCTATCCGACCAGCATGCGCATCGGTGAAGAGGGGCGCCTGGCCGTGAACTTTAAGACAGAGGCTCAGTTCCATGGCTTATTTGTGCTGTCACATCCCGGTAAGCCCCTTTGTCCACTAATCAGCACTCCCAACACAACAAGCGTATAGTGTTTCCATTCTCACACGTTTCAACATGCTTCCTGGTTAGCTTTGAAGCCCTTCATGTCAAATGAATCTTATATGTGCAATTATCTCCTTGAGGGCTTGATAATTATTTACCCGTGTCTCATCATCCACAAAATTACTGTTATGTGGACTTTTAGAGAAAATGCAAAATCACCGAGGACATGTAAAAGGAAACCCTCTTGAGTTCGTATAGAGAGAATGTAGTAATAACAATTCCTTTCTCTGTTTTGCTTCGATTGTACCAAAAAAATGAATATCAAGTGATTAATTCAGCAAACACTTCTCTGTTCACAGCTCTTTTTTAGGTTTTGTGAGAATAGACTCAGAAGTGGCACTTGACTTTCATACTGAAGTTTCAGTCTTGTAAACTAGCTGTGTTTAATAAGGACTGGCTAGGCAGTTTTACTCACTGTGATGCACTGTGTCTAGAATATTTTTAAAAGACAGTAATCAATAAAGTCCCGTGCTTGTTTATTTTATTCAAGACATTTTATTACAATTTTTTTTTTTTTTTTTTTTTTGTACCAGGGATTGAACTCGGGACCTTGCGCTTGCAAGGCAGGCGCCAGAACCACTGAGCTAAATCCCCAGCCCTTATCACAATTTTTTAATTTGACTTTGCTTTTTTTTGGTACTGGGGATCAAACTCGGATCCTTCCGCTCCCAAGGCAGGAGGCGGAACCACTGAGCTAAATCCCCGGCCCCTTGACTTTCTATCTTGCTAAACTGGTTTGCATTTTTACTGGAGTGCCAACTGTCAGATTCAAAAGGGACAATAATTTATTTGCCATCTCCATATCCATGAGCTCTAAGAAAGGAGATAGAAGGGCTGAATAATTAAGAAAAGCAAAAGAATCCATTGTATTTTATGAGATTGAGCTAAAAGAAATATAGGCCCAAAAAGAATCATTTTACTTTATTGTAATTGACAATTCTGGGAAATGAGGATTTTCTGGTCTTTACAGTCCCTCCTGCATGTTCACCTTTCTAATAAACTGAATCTTTGTTAAACTTCAATTGCAGGAAATCTAATTAAAATGAGATTCTGTTCATAAATTGGGTTGGCCCAGCTATGCGGATGCTAATAGACTATTTTAAGTTCAATTCATAGCTTTGATGCACAATAAATGCATTCACTTCTGCTGCTGTCGCCTGGAAAGTGGCCCTGAGCAAATCAAGCATTTCTGACCAATTACCTTTGAAAGAATTACAGAACAGAAAAGGCACTGAGTTACTGTGTGATCTTGGGAGAGCTACATATTGACTCTCCACCCAGTTTCTGCATCTGGGGAGAGTAATTATACCAACCATGTTAATTTTGCAAGTATATAAGGGTAAAAGCAAATGACCTGTGATAAGGTACTTTGAAAACTCTAAATGGTTGTGTGTTCTTTCAGTTTAACCACCACACTGTCATGATTGTTGCCACTTTTCTAGCCTCCTTCACAAGCTCCATGATCATATCAGCTGATCACCCAGGCCTGACTTTTTCCCTCCACCTCATAAGGAGTGAACCAACCTATAACCAGCCTATACAGCAATGGAGCTTTGTCTCTGACTTTGCAGTAAGTGACAAAACTTACTCCATTTTCCGTTTCTGCTGACTTCTGATTGCGCCTCGGATTTTAAAGTGAAAACTGTAAATGTCTTCTCTTCTCCTCGAAGATACGTGACTACTCAGGGACTTACACTGTAAAGCTGGTGCCATGCACCACACCTTCCAATCAGGAGTACCGCCTGCCAGTCACCTGCAACCCCAGAGAGCCTGTCACCTTTGACCTTGACATTCGATTCCAACAGGTGTGTCTCATAGAATTATTGTCCATTACTTATGGAATCCCACTTTGTTAAAGTTATGGTTTACTTTGATCAATGAATTTTTTTTCCACAAATGAAGGACTTCAGTTCTTGCATCCTGAGCATAAAAGGAAGTCAGATAAACAGTAAGGGAAGGAGGAAAGGATTGTCTTTTATCTGTAATAGTTCAGGGTACAAAACCCATAGTTTAAGTTCATGCAAGGAATATTTTTCTCTTATCTGATTCCATCTTGTTGCTTCCTGCAGTTTGCTACTTCAGAGATGTGAGAGTTTTCCCCAGAGTTCTCTTGCACTTCTTTATCTTGTCCTTAATCTTCAAGGGTAATTAAAAATCCTATAGTTCAAACCACCTTTAATTATGTATTAAAAGAAATATTGTTTCTTTTTCAAAGAACCCACACTAAATGTCAACTTCCACGACCGTGATATTTACAAGTCCTTAGTATGCCACAAAAACTAGCAGAAATGAACTCAAGAAATGCTCTTTAGTCCCATTCAAAAAAATTAACTCCATCAATTTTGCCTTCTCAAGGACACGGTCAACCTTAGAGTTTCCTCAGTTGCCTTGGTCGGACATGAAACTTGCTGTGCCATGATCTTAGTAATCTCTGTGTTAGTGTGCAGTGAACATGTGTGTCTGTGAACAGTTTGGTGTGTGCTTGTGTACCCTCAGAACCATCAACCACACATAAAAAGGCTTTACTCTTGGTTTTAGGTCAGTGATCCAGTGGCAGCTGAGTTTAGCTTGAATACCCAGATGTACCTACTCTCCAAGAAGAGTCTCTGGTTGTCAGATGGATCCATGGGATTCGGGCAAGAGAGTGATGTTGCTTTTGCAGAAGGTATTACTTTACAGATGAGTGGGTTGCTCATTTTGTCCTGTATATCCGTGGTGCTTTGCTTTTTGTGTGTTTGTATATGAGGGAGAAATTTATAGTCTCTTCTGTGGTTCTGTCACTTTAGAATCCAATGAGGAGTCACTGAAATTAGGTGTATGTTATTGGATGTGTTTTTATTTTGTTCCCTTATTTTGTTATTCTGAGAAGCTGACCTCTATCTCTTTTACCCAAGTGACTTTTGGAACCCATCTGAGATTTTTTCCTTGAATTTTTTGGCTCACTTTTCAATTTTCATGGACTAAAATATCACAGCTACATGAGATTGTAAATGCCTCATAGGCAAAGAGCATGCCTATTTTTCACTTCGTGTATACTCAGCACCCAGCACCTAGATATTTTACCTAGCACACCCAAAGAGTTTGGTAATAGCAGTGAAATACTTGTTCCAGTGCCCGGAGGATTTATTAAAACCCTCTTTCAAAAGTAAATAGAACAATTAGGATTTGTTTTGTTTTGTTTTGTTTTGTTGAGACAGGGTCTCACTTTGTAGTCCAGGCTGGCCTTGAACTTGCTGCAATTTCCTCCTACCTCAGCCTCCTAGGTACTGGAATTACAGGCATGTGTACCACACCTGGCCGCTAATTAAGCTTTTTACTGATATTTTCTAAGTGTTACTCTACATTGTATTAGTTTATATCTCACCAACTAATTAATGTACACAGGGCTTTAACCACAAGGGATATTATGATTGCCAAATTATAGGCTAGACCTTGAGGTTATTCCCACTAGTATCTGACCATTTGAGACTCCACAAGTCTTCAGTCTTGCAGCCAGTCTGCAAAGTGATTTTATCTATGGCCTGAGGGGTGGACCAATTCCTGCAGTTAACACACAAAAAGGCTTTCCACGTTTGATGATAGATTAGAGACCAAAGCAAAGAATCTTTGTCATCATTGTCAAAACTGTTTACAACTGTTTACAACTGAGACACTCCATCATGTAACAAAAACAATATTTCCACATCTGTTTCAGGTGATATAATTTATGGTCGTGTCATGGTAGATCCCGTCCAGAATCTGGGTGACTCCTTCTACTGTAGCATTGAGAAGGTGTTCCTTTGCACTGGAGCTGATGGCTATGTTCCCAAATACAATCCGACAAATGCAGAGTATGGATGCCTAGCTGATTCTCCTTCACTTTTGTATAGATTTAAAATTGTGGTAAGTGCTTTGACCTAAACAGTAACTGCATATATTTTTTCATGGTTAATTCTTTTTCTTATGTTTTAAAACTGTATCATCATTTTAAATTAAAGCATTATGTAATTAAATTTTGTGATAATTTTTATTTGCACGAAACTAACAGCAAAACATTCTGCCCTTGCAAAAGCTGGCGTTATCTATAGTAATCATCATTTTCCTTATTGCTTAAAGGACAAAGCTCAGCCAGAGACACAAGCTACCAGTTTTGGAAATGTCCTGTTCAATGCTAAACTAGCAGTGGATGACCCTGAAGCCATTCTCCTAGTGAATCAGCCTGGATCTGATGGATTTAAAGTTGACTCAACACCACTCTTTCAGGTAGGTCCCAAACAAGCTCTCTTATAATAATATGGAGCCACATGCAAGTTACCTAACATTTCTGTCTCATATGTAAATGGAGTTATAGTAATATTTCATATGGAAAATGGGAACATTTAATAAGATAATGCATTCCATAAATTTTAGCTATCATTTTTTGTTAATGTGCTGATATTATTTTAAGATCATGTAAAATGAAGGCTATTATTCAGCCCAGAACATAAATATGATATAGATGAGTAATTTGTTTTTCTTATTCAAAATTTCTTTCCTGACCATCCTGACTCTCCATGACCATCTTTCAGTGTGATTTGTATAAACTGATGTATACAAAAAAGCAATTATGCACAGCAAACAAAATCTTCACTCCCTAAGACTTCATAAATCCAGGTAGAAAATCCTGAACCAGAGCTAGGCAGTGAAGAGGCATGCAGGGTGTTCTACTGAACAGGAAAATTCAACACATTAAGACATGTGCTTAGGCTGTGAATCCTTCTGGGAGCAAGTTCACCCTTTAGGGATATTTACTGAAAATCATACAGATAGGATTTTCATACAGGCAGGAAAAGTGTAGTTCATATTCAACCTAAGGAAGGAATCTTAAGAAAGCAGACTTGTTATTCTACATCTTCTCAACCAAGAAGTCTAAATGGTTTTTTTCATTTTTACTATTAATTTTTAAAGATCTGACCTCTCAAAATCCTGAAGGGTTCAGAGTCATCAGAAAAATCTATCTTTTTCTCTCAGACCCTGAAAAATCTTGAAAACACAGCCCCTCTGCCATGATCTTACATGTGAATAAGCAAAAACACATAGGGAAAAAGAATCCTGAGGTTCAGAAGGTTTGAGCTATAATCCTGCCTCTGCCTCTAAGGAGTTGAGTGAGCTTGAACAAGGCACTGAACTGTTGTATTCTTATTTACTCATTTTTAGGTGAATAAGCTAGACTGTGTCATATCAAAAGTTTTTTACAGCACTCACATCCTGTGACTGCAAATACCAAATGCTCACCAGTACACACTCCCTTAAGAATTATACAAGATAGGGGCTGGGGATTTAGCTTAGTGGTTTCGCCGCCTGCTATGCAAGCACAAGGACCCAAGTTCCATCCCCGGTACCAAAAAAAAAAAGAATTATACAAGATATAGTGCAGGGTACTTTACATGAAGCCTTGCACATACTACACACTGAAAAGTACTGAGTAAATTAATTCTGCAGACTAAATTATCACTTCCATTATCTCTGCCATTATTTTCTCTTGCACATAGTCCTGAATTAGGTTAGTATGGAACCTAATTTTCTAACAAATAGGATTATGTTTTCCAGGTTGCTTTGGGCCGGGAATGGTACATACACACCATTTATACGGTAAGATCAAAAAACACCAATCGAGGCATTGGCAAAAGAAGTGTGGAGTACCAGTACCACACTCTGGTGCAGCAGGAGAAGCCTCAGGAGACTGCGGAGAGCAGGAAGAAGAGGGAGATCAGGAGCATGCCCCCTCTGGCATGGGAAATCGGTGCTGAAAACAACAGAGGAACAAACATCCAGCACATTGCCCTGGAGCGCACCAGCAAGAGGCAGATCCCTCAAGGGAGAGTTCCTCCTGATGGTGTCCTGCCACAGGAGTTCAACAGTCCCAGCTCTGAGCTCAGCCTGGTCACTGTTGTGGGAGGTATCGCAGTGGGATTGCTCACCATCTGCCTCACTGTCATTGCAGCAATGATGTGCAAGAGCAAGAAGAGTGCCAATGGGAAGGACACTCCGAAGGGCTCAGGCAGCAGCAAGCCCATGATGTCCCCACAGAGCCACCACAATGACAGCTCAGAGGTGTGATGACCACAGGTCAGATTCAGCCTTCTTCTCAAGTGCCGTGGAAAAGTCTGAAACAGGACCCCAAATGCTTCTGATAAACTGCAGAAAACTGGGGACTTCTGTAATGAAGCTGCTCGGAGAAGCTGACTGTACTAATATACTTTGATTTGAATTCTGTCTACTCTTTGCATCCAAGGACAAATTCAGACCACAGCTTTCCTCTTCCCCATGGGGCATCAACGATGTACTCACTCCTACACAGGCAGAGCCATGGATGGATGGAAATGTACTTATTTTATGCATGTTATCTACACAACAGAGATGAACCTGCTTAACGGTGCTAACAGACTCTCTCTGGAGCTTGAGAGGAGTCTGCTTTTACTGTGTTAGTGTGAACCTTGAAGGTGCAATTATCACACTTTTTATTCATTATATAATCAGTGATCACTAGAAAGGTTTTAGTTGGTAGTCTGGAAGAACAATAAACACACACTGTTTACTATGACAAGTTTTCTAGGTGAGAACAGCATAGAATTATGACCAGGGCTAACTGAACCCACAAATCACCTTTTCTACTATTTGGCACAGAGTGGAAAGAAAGATAGAAATGAATTCACTTGCATGAATTTGAATTGCTTTTCATCTTCCTCAAATCCTCTTTGTTTCATTTGCTATTTAATTTTAAATTAAACCAAAGAATATGTTAATTCTAGGAAAGATTTTTATGAGTAGAGCTCTTACATGGCAATATATCTTATTGGTGCTCAACACTTGTGGGAAATGAGAGGGTGAGTGACATTTTTATGACAAAGAAACACCATAGAGTCAGATTCACTACAAGACAGTGTTCTATAAGAATTGAGCCTTGTTATTTGCAGTATTGAACCCACAAATGATAATGAGAAACATCTTTACAGATGGTGAAGGGAGAAAGTGGTATTTATTAATATGTATAACCAGAGTGACTTTTATACATACTTTGTAGAATAAAAGAACATTTTGACAGGTGGCATATGAGGTTATCCCTCAGAGTGGCACAGCCAGACAAAAACATGCAGAACTTAAAAGCAGCTGTAGGATATTTTATTAGATTTCTAATCATATCTGATTAAAACAATAGAAATCTCTGCAATAGTAATTCCAGAAGTAGTCTTCCAGGGGGCCAGCCTGTTGATCATATTCTTCTTTCATCTAGCAAGAAAGCATCATTCTCTGGCATCCTCAGATCACTGAGTTGGGGCCATGAGGTCCCTCTTATGCCCTGAATATAATTTGTTAGCACTGCTGATCATTCACCCTACAAAACCAAGGAATTTGAGTGACTTCATTAGCAAGCCTCCTATGGCCTTTCTGCAGAATTCTTTTTTTAAAATCAAATGGCAGAATTGTAGTCAGGAAGTGAAAATTTCAATAGTTTCATGACTAATCTTCCAAAAGCTACTAAATATATTTCAAACAAAAATGAGGCTGGGAGAAACAGAGTGATGTCTAAAGTACTCAAAGGACTGACATCAAGGTACTGCCTGGAATTCCTTCCAAGTCCCAGCCAGTCTCTTGCCAACTGGACATCCTGGTGGAAGGGAGGTTTTGGGAACGAAATGTCTCCTCAGGTAATACAAGCACATTACATTTGGCATCTGTAAGCACCAGCCTGCTTTTGATTGAGAAAAGGACCCGGCTGGTGCTGGTACAGGAAGAGAAGTGAAATGTGTCTAATACTTGCCTCCCTTCATTTAGGCAGCTCTGCACTTCACATTCAAAGTCTTGTAATGAATAAAGTAGACTGCAGTATCTTCTATTGGACAGTCTCCAAGTATCATCTGCATCTCAAGGATTTCCCCCAAGAACCTATATAAACAAAAAGTACTGTACAGCCCAGGAGTTCACTATCAAAACTAGTAATGATACTTTCTTAATTATCCCCCTTTCTTTTGCTTTATCTTCTTGCAGATACTTAGCTACATTTTTGGCTACCTCATAATTTGCATGAGAATTAACATGAATTAAGCAGTTCCAAATTGTGCATGGGATTATTACTATTTAACACTAGGCTCAATTTATGAAAACTTAGAACTAGAATTCTCAATCAACTTCCTGACACTTTTGCAGTGAAACTCTTCGTAACCTGACTATCTCCACATCTCTATCAGTGAATACAGTAATCAGGAAAGCATCATTATGACAGATCTGTTTTAAGCCTTTCAACCAGGCTAGCTTTACACCAAATTTCACTCTGCAAGTTGTTGTTCTAATGAAGTTATCATGTATAAATTGGAGAGCTTATTAATTATAGAACAAATCTATCCCTTTCTAACAAAAAGAAATTTCTCCTCCATCTCTTCTCATCTCTTCTCTCCATCTGTTCTTCTTTTTCTCTGTCTGCTCTTCTCATCCCTTCTCTCTTTTCTTTTTTCCCTTCATCCCCTTGGAAAAAGAGAGAATCTATGGGAAATAGGCAGATATAGCTTCTGTAAGTAAAAATTACTTGGATTTTTGCCTCATTTAAAAATATATATATTTACTAAATACATGACATACTATACATTAAAACTCCTTTCTGTAGAAAAAATAAGGTAATATGTTTTTTGTTAAATAAAACAGACCCTTATTTTCAAGACTTTGTTTTTAAAGAACTGTTCTGGTATTATCAGAGCAATTACATAAAATATCTTTTCCTAGAGAACAGGATGTAGTCAGTAATAGCTCCTTAGTTACTTAGTACCCCTTGACCCCCATCAGGATCTTGTTGATATTAAATAGTAAAACCACAAAATGAAAATAAATATTACCATTCATATTTATGTAGCCTAAGCATATGAACCATGAAGTATTAAAATGCACAAATGAAGTGTAATGATTGTCTCATTTGTTACTGTTCATTCCCTTAGTTGACATTTACTGAAGGCTCACCTCAGATTGATTAGTCATTCTGAGAAGTTAAGTAGAAACCCAGCTACTTCCCCTGTCCTCCGGGAGGTTATAATCACCTGAGGCTCTTTCCTGGGACTAACATGTCAGAACTTGCATCAAGTTCTCCTCTGGACCAAGAACACATCATACGTATCTGTGAAACACAATTTAAAAATCTCTCCACAACACCAATAGTACAATACACTCTCTTCCTCTACAAAATCCCTGTCTGTTATAAATCATTCTGATCACAGATCAAATACAAAATACTTCCACCCATTAATTTGATGGAATTGATGATGAACCCGCACAGAGGAAATATGTTGTAATACATAGGTAACCCCTGCATTTTCCTTTCCTCTTGGTGGATGATAGGCCCACTTTATTCCAAGAGAGGGATGCAGCACGTGAGCTCGTCTACCTTTACCACCACCAGCATCTCCTGAAGCCCACCCTCTCCCCAGCATCTTCAGTAGTTGGACAATAGAGTTAAGATCAGTTAGAGAGCTGCTGCCAAGACCCTGCATAGCATCTGTGACCGGAAGGACCGGTAGCAAGCTCCAAGGACTTGTAGGACTCTATAAGGAACAACGGAGCACTACCAAGTCATCTTCCCTTTAATTCTTTTCCAGGGTACCAACTCTAAGGACAACATTAAAAATGGAAATAGATGTAGCCAGACAAAAATTACAGAAAACCTTTCTCCATACATTTCAGTGCTAGAAGTTAAGGTATTTCCAAGTTGAACAATGTGAAAGTAGCAATATCAGAATTAATGTAATGACAGTTACATTTTAAAAGTGTCAAATTTTCTTTTGAAAACACCTATTTAATATTAACATGGAAACCAGTTCCATCCTTCAATAGGAAAAAGAAAGACTATTATTAAAGATGCAAATATTTTACAAATTGGAAACTTTCATACTTGTATTATTTTGAGAACTATTTTTTTGAAACTTTTAAATTTTCTTGCCATGATAGCAATAATAAGAGTATGAAAACAACTGTCTTTACCAACTGTATGGCAAGTGAATATTTCTCAAATGTTCAATTAGTCTGACATACCAAGGCTGAGAAATGTGTAATTTGGAAGGAAGCTATAAATACTAGTATTTGCACACATATTCACAAATACACACATATGCATGCACACATAAAAATAAACATACCTCTGAAGGCATAGTACCAACTGAAATAAATTATATGATGATTTTCAAGTCAACAGAGAGGTCATTTATGAAATTTACTATCCTAAGAGTTTCTTTGGCCTTAGTTCAAAATTTAATATGTTTTCTTCAGAAATTTTCCTAGAATTGATCCTAGTATTGTAAAGTAATGACAGAAATTCTCGGGAAATATTGCCTGTAGGTTAAGGATCGCCACTGTCTATTTTTTCTCTTGTCTATATCCTTCCATTTTAAGGAACAAAGGACTTCGGGATTTCAGTAGCTGTTTTATTCTGATAGAAACTTTAAAATAGAGTATAATATTTTCCTTCACTTTCCACCAGAAAGACTATGTAGAATTATGTTTTAATTTTTTGAGAGTCTTGATATGTAGTTCAGGTTGGCCTTGAACTTACTGTGTATCCCAGCCTGGCCTCTAACTTGGTGACCCTCTTGCCTAAGTCTCCCAAGTGCTGTGCTTATAGGCATGCACCACCCAGCCCAACCAGAGATTTTTTGAATAAGAAAAAAAAAGCCAGCTGTCTCTCGTAAACAAAAATTGATGAAACAAAATATACTAAACCGAGTCTCTTTTGACTTAACTTTATTGGGAGAAAGTGAGAATATTAAATTTGCAAGCCTCAATCCATTTTTCTTTCTTTCCTATCTTTGCATTTAATTTTTCTCCTGATGTTTGTTTCTGTGCATTTTTCTAATATTCTGTTTTACTAAAGAACAATAAAAACAAACAAAAAACTATTCTAGCAACAACATCTACTTTACTTCTCCTTTCTCTCTCTTTCTCCATCTCTCTCTTCTTCTTCCTCTCTCTCTCTCTCTCTCTCATTGTTTCTTTTACTTAGTGAACTAGGTTTTTCTTTTTGGACTATTTGTTTTTCATTCTTTTAGTAATACTTCCCATTACCACTTTCCCTACGTAGTTAGCATTCCCGTTCCTCTGAAAGCTGGGCTGTCCACACAACATTTATGTATAAATCCCTTTTGTATAAAATGTTAAAGCTTTGGGGTGAAAGAAAAAAATTCCTGCCAAAAATCAAAAGCATCATATTGAATAATAATCTGCACCTTGATTTTCTCTCAGCAGAAGTTCAACCTTGACATTTAAGATTTTAAAATCCCTTTAAGGATTTCAGGCCGTATGAATCTCTTTAGGATGATTGAATACTTTACAATGAAACCAGCAGCCAAAAAAATTGCTATCATCTCAACAGCATTGACATTTTAAAATTATAATTATTAAATGCACAATGCTCCTCTACTCTCAGCCAGATGTGCTCTCACCGATTACATAATCACTTAAACACTGAAGGTCAATTTCTGTGGATTTTTGTTTTTTCCAGTGTTTCAATAAACCTCTCCCATAAGAACTGTCAGTCTTGTGCCATAAAAAGAGAGAAATTTTTGAAAACTAAAAATAAAGAGAATTATAATAAAAGTAATTGAAATATAGAAAAGTAGTTACTGGTAAGAACAAAAGACCATTTCTGTAAGGGCCAAAATAATGCACATTACAAAAAATAGTACAAAGCAGTCTTTTTCTGTGACTTGAGGAATTCAAGTTTTTGGCAAGATATTTTCCAAGCCCATTTGTGTATTATATAAAACTATCCTGGGCATGGAGCTGTGCATTTTATAATTGCATTAAGTGCTTCCTTCTTTCCAAGTGCTTCCCATGATACTTAGTAACTTTTTATATTTGTCTAGCCATTGAGTAACACATCTGTGTAGTGGAATTACTTGGAGAATTTAATAGCTTGTGCTAATTTCTCATAGAAATTCTTCAAAAACAAACAGGGTCTAGTTTATTTCATGTGTTTGCTAAGTTACTGCACATTTTCTGGGTATTCACATTTATTCCTGGAAATCTAATTAATGCAAATAAATTGGAGTCATTCAGCCTAATTCCATGTTTAAAAGAACTGTTGCTACCATTTGTGTTTCATACCTACACTGTTTTTCTTCAAAGTGTATTACATGCTTAATATAAATAAAGCCCATATAAATGTATGTTCAAATGGTCCAGTTATTGCGGTGTTTTCTGTAACTTATCTACACTAAAATCATAGAATTCCTGTATTCTGTAGTGTATGTCAGTTTTTTTCATTCTGGTTCTGGAGCTATGAGATGTGTGCGCCCTCCCAACTACCATCCTGCCTCTGGTAGTAAATGTTTGCTCATCCTCAGCAAGACATGCTCAAAAGGTCCTGGTGCCTGCCCTACCAAGTGTCTGGCCGACAGAAATGCAAGACAGTTTGTTGACTTCATAAGATTCATAAAGGGTGCTGAGGAAGCTGACTCCTGCTGAGAGCAATGTGTATTTAAGGAAAACAGCATGTCTGGGTGACTAATCCTTTGTCCTGAGGAGCAGATGACTAGACCCTACTGTAGTTAGGAAACCTGCTGAGCTTCACTTGTGATAATGAATCAACCCTCTGATCTCTGCTGCCAACTGGACTGAACAACTTTGGAAACTGTGCCCATCTCAGTGATCATCTGAGATGTATCTTACAAATATGGAAGGGTAATGCAAAGAAAAGGGAAAAACACAAAAAAGAAGGCAAAATGGAAGAAAAAACCTTTCACGTCAATAGCTCTTCATAGTTTTCAAGGCTAAGAAAGAGATATTCATGTGGTAGCAGAAAGATTCTGGTCAGCAACAGAAATGTGCAGAAAAGCAACTGCCCTTTTTGGCAGGGATTTCTAGGCACGAGAGAGAAAGGCTGGCTTGTGTACCAAAGTTACAATCCAGGAGAAGCAAGGAGGAGCATTTTAGGGAAAATCTGGAATGAATGAATTTTTTAGACAAAGCACAATGAAGACTCCTTTTTCCTTGCCAAATTCTAATTAATTATAAATTCTTACGATAAGAAGGCAAAGAATAAAAAGTACAAATGTCCAAAAGACCATTAGAAAATATTTTCCATAATTTCACATTCTACCTAAAACAACATTGAGAAGTAATTATATTTACTGCAATTAACCTTTTTCTCCACAATCTGCTAGTGAATTAGTTTTCTTTAATTTTGAGGACCCCCTAACTGCTAACCCTTCTCCTGTTCCCACCACGATGTGGAAGGACAGGCAAATAGATGCACACACAGTCGAGTTTACTGAACATAATTTGGCCTCTGCTTCTCACTTTTTTTCTTCGAGACAGGGTCTCACTATGTAGTTCAGGCTGGCCTTGAACTCACTACATAGCCCATGCTGACTTCCAACTCATAGCAGTCCTCCTGCCTCACCCTCCTAAGTGCTCAGATTACAGGCATGCACCACCCTGGACTTCTCACCTTTAAAATGCCTGTCTTCCTTTAATGCTAAATTGATTGTTAAAGATGTCATCTTTTTTTTTTAGAGCACAGAAGGATCTGGATTTTTGTTTTGTTTTGGGTTTTGTTCTTTTATAACACAGCTGTTATAAAGTTCCAAACAAGCGTAAAGTTACATTGGTTAAAAAAAAAAAAAAATTCTCACGCTGGCAGTTAAAACAAGGGAAAACTTAGGGAAAAGTTTTACACTTGTGTTCTTTTTCCTGTACTAGAATTGTCTAAACCAAGACTTTCAAGGGAAGCAAGTCTGCATTCTCAGAGGTAAAGGCTGAGATGGGGCAGCCCTGTAAAGGGGAGGCCTGCAGGAAACTCATGCTCTCCCATAATACAGGGAAACAAAGCACCCGGAGTTTTATCTTCCAGATTCCTATTTTCCCAGGGTCAGTCACATAGACCCAACATTTTATTGTAAGGAAGATCTATCTGGCGATATTCCTTGAATAACTTAATAAAAAACAAAGGGTGGTTCAACTATTTTGGAAGGGGGTTACACAAAGAAAGGTGTTATTTTCTTAGGTATCTCATACAAATAGGGAAGGGGAAATAGTGACGTTGTAAGGGTGTTCGGTTACAGAAATAGATCCCTTTTGACCGCGTCTCAGGGGGTGTGGAGAAGAATGAGTGATTCTGGCCCACAGGAATGCAGGCCAATTTGTTGACTTCATAAGATCCAGGGTGATAGCTCTGCAGTAGTCAGAGCCTTGAGTTAGGCCAAATTCAAAGAAATGAATTATCACAAAAATTTTCCATATGAAGCAGTACATTGTCAGGTCAGATGTAAGCTATATTTCTTCCTGTTACTACAACCTGCACGTCTCACTTAAATGAAATGCCACATGGTGGCTTCTGCCGTTCGCTTTCTAGGGACCTACTGTTTTTCTCACCTTTCGTAGTGTTTAACAGCACTACTAGACTGCACATGGTGGGAACTGATCACACTGGTTCAGGAGTGAATTTAGAAGATCCATTGTACTTAAGCTTTACATATCAAGGGCATAAAACAAGCTTTCCAGCATAGGCAATAAAACACTATAAACAAGTGCAGTAGAGTCATTCTAAAGCTGTTAATCTCCACAAGTTGCATATTTGAGCGTCACATGGGGAGTACTTGGTTCACACTTCATATTAATTAAATAAGAAACTGTCAGAATCAGTATTCCTTAAACCTCCTCATCTTATTTTAAAGGTATCCAGGTTTCAAAACTTTGAAGGAGGCAATTACATTTCTTCACCAGCATTGAGAACATGCTGCCAGATCATGGGCCTACACTCACTAAACATGGGGTTTAGTAGTTTTCTGAGGCTACCATAATAAAGAACCACAAACTAGGTAACTTAACCAGTGGTTTATTTATTTCTCACAGTTCTAAAGGCTAGAAGTTTAAGATCAAGATGTCCTCAGGACTGATTTTTCTGCAGTCTCTCTCCCTCTCTCTCCCCCTCTCTCTCTCTCCCTGTCTCTCTCCTCTCTCTCTCCTCTCTCTCTCCCTCTCTCTCTGTCTCTCTCTCCCTCTCTCTCTGTCTCTCTCTCCCTCTCTCTCCTCTCTCTCTCCCTCTCTCTCCCTCTCTCTCCATCTCTCTCCGTCTCTCTCTCTCTCTCTCGCTCTCTCTCTCATAGCCATTCTCCATTTCTCCACTCAGGATGGTGCAACTTAAAAGAATAAGCTGTTCTGAAGGAAGGTATGAAAGGTGGGAAATTTATGTCTGGAGTTTAAAAGAAATAGGAAGTCAAGGAAGGATGGAGGGAGGGAGAGAGAAAGAAAAGGAGTGGTATGAAGAAAGGGAGAAGAAAAGGAAATGGAGACAGAGGGAAGGGATGGATTGGACTGCAGCATTAAGTACGCAACTCTGTCATAAGAAAAATAGAGTAGAGCAAAAGGGGCATCTTGCTACTTGCCCTCTCATTTCCAATTTAGGATTCTGGAAAGTAATTATTTGTCAAGGGATCCCTGCTTCAAAGTGTGACACAGCCAGATATACTTAGTGACCAATCGGTGTGATATGATGCCAACTAGAAACTAGAGTGACACAAGATTCAACATATGGTAAGAAAAACTGGCCTTCCTTGATACTTTATTACTGTCGGTTTGAGACACAGGGTGCATAATTTCATTTCTGTGACTTTGGGGAGTCACCTCACTTCTCTGGGTCTTTATCTCCCAATATGTCACAAGAATATTTCAAGGCTTTAAAAGAAAGGATTACAAACTCACTGAGCTAAATGACCTGCACGTCTTCTCTAGCTTTCATCACCAACACTGCTTCTGATCTAGAGTTCTCTTCAGCAGCCTCCCCTTTGCCAGGCCCTCTCAGTGCCCTTCCATCAGCTTCTGGCAGCTCAGAGCCCCTTGGAATGAGTATTACCTCAATCGGCACTCAAACAGGAAGCGTCTACCATGGGCATCCGTGTCAGTGTTCCCCAGAATTCATATCCTGGAATCTTAACCTTCAAGGTGATAGTATTAGGAGGTGGAGCCTTGGGAAGGTGATTGGATCGTGAGGGCAGAGACTTCATTATTGAGACTAGTATCCTTATAAAAGAGGCCCAGACAGGCCTCTCACTCTTTCTGCCCTGCGAACCAGAAAGTGCGGTGTCGCAAAACATCAAGTCTGCTAGTGCATTGCTCTTCGACTGCTCAGTCTCCAGAACTATGAGAAATAAGTTTGTTGTTTTTAGGCCACCTGTTTTTTATTTTGTTATAGCATCCCAAGCAAACTAAGATAGCAATGGTATTACTCCAAGGGAAAACGTCTGAGACAAGTCTGAACTTCAAATCCTGTTTCAGCACTGTGATCAGGGCCAAGCCATCCTTGTTCTTAAAAGGGGAAGATCACCGGCCCTGGCTTACATGTTAATGGGATGACTGTGGGCCCTGGGGCTGCGCTGTGAGGAGAATAAATCCTTCTGTCTCTCTCTCCAAAAGAGTTGTCTGCGATTCCCTCTCGTGGCCTTGCTCTCCTTTCCACTCTTCTCCCCAATGAGAAAACAACTTTAGCCTTACTCTAGGAGTAGGTGACTGGATTTTGAATATTATACTTGGCATTCATATTCCAGAAGTGCTGTGACCTTTCCTGGCTCTTCTACAGCTCCTTTGTCCCCAAATATCCTCACCTTCTGAGGAACCTTCTTTAGTCAGCCTTAGTAATTAATGTAACCAGTGACCCACTGTAATAGGTACTAAAGAATTAATACAGGTTATGCTGAAAGGGATGGAATAACTTGAAGTTATATCTCCCATAGCCCTAAAGATTCTGACAGCTCTTTCACCCAAATTGCAATCCACACAGAATGCAAATATTTGTGCATTCGTTCCTTGCTTTTTGTGTGTTCTTTTGGTTTTTGTTTGTTTCATTTTCTTTGGGGGAGTTCATTGTATATTTTGAGAAAGAAGTTCCAGTGAGTAAGATAATGTTTATCTCTAGTAAGAACCACTGATTTAGGAGTTTGCTATAAATTGTTAGCTGAAGGCAAAAAAGGAAGAACAGTAGATTTCCTGAAAAGGCTAAGAAGAGATTTTTACAAAGGCAAAATACTCTCCTCCCGACATGGGTCCCAGTGACAGAGACGGCCTAGCCTGTGTAAAGTCCGTGTCATTGTTCTTAAAATGTAGGGTCACAGGTTAAAGGTCTGAATGGTATGACTTTGTGGACTTATTTTCTGACTCATGTAGATAATCCACCTGAGGTTTCTAGTTTGCAACTAAGTTCTCAATTCCTATGGGTTAAGTAGGAACACTGGAATCATAGCCATAGAGTTAGTAAAATCTACCATGAGATTCATAAGCTGTGGACTGTCTAAAAATCATATAATGATTTCATGGGGAAAAATAGGCTGAAAAACCAAAGGTAGAGTGAGATCCCCATTATGCATTCACATGTAGCTAATGCCTACGTGCTAGCAAAAGGCATGTGAGGAGGGGCCAGGGAAATGATGTGAGCAGAGATGGACTGGGGGCTGTGAGGGTGGTAAGGTTTTGTGGGGGGGTGGGGTGTGCAAAGGAGTACAAAGCATGTGAGGAGTGTGCATTTACATGCATGTGTAGTCCTGAGTACTACAGTGGGGGCTTGACATCCAGAAACTAAGTTTGGTACTCCAATACTGGAGCCATCGGTTCCCCTACCCTACCATCCTCCACATCCCCAAGTAAAACTCAATAATGTGTAAGAATAGACTTTGAAGTCAGGCCGACTTCATAAAAACCCTAACCAACACCCGCTGGCTGAGAGAAACTGGGCAAGTTATTGGATCTCTTGACATCACTTTCTCATCTGTAAGAAAAGGGCTGTTTCTTGGTATCCATGAAAGACTGAGCACAGAGTAACACAAAACAGTTAATAAACAGTAACTTTAAAAAGTCTAGCCCATCTCTCAGAACAGATCAAAAGAAAATTCCACCCTGGCAACAAAATAACCTGTTAAAGCACATTCACTTTCTATGGCTTCTTTATTTGCATCAGGTTATTTAGGAGAGGGAACAGACTACAAACAACTCTTGATTACTTGCAGCTCTTGGGACTACTAGAGTGAAAACACGAAATCCTCAGGATGATGCTCCCCAGTGGTTTCAACCAATAAAACCTTTCACAAGGATTCCTACTAGTGAGCAAATAAATTGACTGGAATTTTCTGCCTTCCAGTGCCTTGTCCTACCCTCTGACAAATGTGCCTGGAGTCTGAGAATTGGCCAGCAGTCCCAACAGGACGTGCTGTACACCAAGACAGCTGCAGTTCCGAGCTGAGTGCAGGATGCCCTGTGGGGCTGGTACCGTGTTTGTGGCTAATATCCTGTCTTTAACATCAAAATCAGATATTACTTGCAGCATTGAGGGGGTTTATTGCAACTACTGGAGATATAACAAGTAATTACTTTGGAATTGTAAAGCAATTATGTTGTATAAATATGAGGCCTATGGTACTTTACAAATGATCTAGGGTACTTATTTTTGAAAACAAGAAATAATTCTGAAATCCATCATAGTCACCCAGTGATTTCCTCCTCTACTGCAAGAAAGTGCCTGCTACTAAGACAGGATAATCACTAATTGATTATACAAGAGTACTGCAAGGTTGATTATGTCTTAAAAATAAAACTAGTACACAGCCCTCAGTTTTGCTTTATTTTTCTTTTTGTTGTGTCTGCAGATTTTCCCTACTAGTGCTACTCCAGCTGTGAAGTTCCTATGCCTTGTTCGTTGCTAGAATTCTCATTGCCTCTAACAGCTGACTTCTCCACAGCACAGGTCAGGCACTAAGCAATGGACTGGCTACCTCAGGCTCTATCATTAACCTTCTTGTGGTTATCATAGCTGGTACCACCAATGCCCTCTAGTATGTTCATGGGAAGAGGAAACACAATTGTGGAATTTTTCTCCGTGGCTACTGTGGTTAAGGTCTGTAGGTAGCGTAGCTGGAGGGCTATGGGGGACTCGGTCAGAACCATGGAGGCTGACTTCAGGGCTTTAGATGCATTCATTTCTCCTTCTGCTGCAAGGACCTAAAATGAAAGGAATAAAATGTGTAACTGTGACTAAGGCTTTCCTTTTTGGGTCACTGTTGATGCCTCCTACAGCCCTAATTCTGTGTTTCTTCTGCTTACTTCTTAGGCCAGGATAAGAGTTTCATATCCTATTGTGATTGGAGAAATTCAAGGAGGCTGCACAAAGCGCAGAGAGATATTTTACAAATTAGAAGTCTCTAGATTTCATTCTCAAACACAAACAAAAGCACTGTATTTGACCCAAACACACACTTGTCCATCCATCCTGGGAAGGTTCCAGAACATTTTGGGGTCTCCCTAACTGCTGCAATCATTTTTAGAAATATCTGAAATTCAAGGGCTCTGACTGGCTGTTTTGTTGTTTTTACTTATCATGTGAGATATTTTTACTTCATTCTGATGACAATTTAGTCTCATTCATATAATGCTAGAATTGTTTCTAGTTCTTGCCACCCTCGATTACAAGGAGTAGCCTGATAACCTCATGGGGACTCTCTTCATCACTCTGTGCTCTTTCTGGTTCCCAGAATGCCCAGGAACAACTTGGCCAGGGCTCACTGTTCATATGCAAAAGTGATGGTTCTTTCATCCTCTTCAAATCCCTACTTAGGGGCTGCTTTAATTCAGCAGGTAAACCAAATATGAATAAGGAATGAGAGCACAGAAAACATTCATCTGCTCACAAGGAAGATTCCAAAGAGAATACACAAAAGCTCCTGCTCTCTGTGTCTGCTATTTCGGGAAATCTATCTACATAGACATGAAAGTTACCGATCAATATTTTAAGAGCCCTTGGGGCCAGGCTAGGTTTCAATTTTGTGATTCTAATCTGCATTGCATGTAATTACTTCCTTTTCATCCAGTGAGCTGGTTTACATCTAGAATGTCTCCCAGTTCAGAGGTGGGACTTTTGGAAGGTGACTGGATCCTGGGGATGCTATGGCTGACCTGCTGTTAGGAAGTGAGGACTGGTTGGAAGAGGATGGTCACTGGGGGCGTGGTCTGGAAGGGTCTCTCCTCCCCAGCACCTCCCTTCTCTCTCTGCTTTCTGGTTGCCATGACATTAGCAGTTTTCCTCCAGCAGAGGGACACTTCCACCATGCTGTGTCTGCCTCAAAGCCAGCTGAATATAGGCTGAATCTTCCAAAAACTGAGCCAAAATAAACCTCTCCCCCTTTAAACTGTGGGTCTGGGACAAAAATATTTTGTCTCAGCACTGAGGAAACTGACTGAGACATCCAGTAATACTTAACACATCTAAACCAATGATGCTCAAAATACAAGCACCAAGTGAGGTGTTTCCAAAACACAAGTTTTATAAAGATGTTGGTACCTGGGCCCACAACAGGTACCAACTTCATCTGGGTACTTGTTTTGTTTTGTTAAATTCTCTAGGACTTTGATGCACAAATAGTGCTGGGCCTCACAATGTTAACTGCAACGAGTTGCCAAGCATCCCACTGACCTCTTACCCAGCTTCCAAAAGGTACATTATGCTGTTGATCACCTTTTAATTCAAGGGAAAATCTGCAAGCAAGAAATTCTTTTCTTACAACCATAACCAAGAGACCCTACTCTTCCATTCAGGCTCTGTCCTGTCTGCCCCAGAAGGAGGCAGCTCTCCCTCCTGTACAGAGTGGTCCTTACCCTAGCTCTGGCTTCCCGCGTGGCCTCAGCCTCAGCGGCCATGGATCTCTGCAACTGCACAGGAATCCGCACATCTTTGATTTCCACTCGGGCCACCTGGATCCCCCACAGCTCAGTGGCATCATCAAGCAAAGTCTATTTGGAGAAATTTTTATAAAAAGTAAATATTAATCAGAGAACTAAATGGGCCAGTTATGTAGCTCAATGGCACTGTGCACGCCTGGCAAGTGCAAGGTCCTGAGTTCAATCCTTGGTACCCTGGTACCAAAAAAGAAGGAAGGAAGGAAAGGAAAGGAAAGGAAAGGAAAGGAAAGGAAAGGAAAGGAAAGGAAAGGAAAGGAAAGGAAAAGAAGAGGAGAGAGGGAGGGAGGGAGGGAGGGAAAGGGAGGGAGGAAGGAAGGAAGGAAGGACAGATGATGAGCTATAAGTTTCTACTGTTTTGGAAAGGTAATTCTCCCCAAACTCATGGCTCACTTTTTGGAATTGAAGTGAATCCCACAAAGGTTTCATGAACAAATTCTGACAAATCTTTTAATAGGTGGTCCACTGGAACAATCCACTCTACAACCATCTTTCAGGAAATGTGTAATATCCATCTGGATTGAGCAAAGGCTCTGGATTTACTTGTCACTGATAGCAAGCAGAGAGCAATGCATGGACTTCTCAGAGGGACACGGATTTTATCCTGGCTCTGCCATTTGCAACTGTAAATCACAAGTTTCTTAACCCCTCTGATTCTTAGATGTTTCACCTATGACAGGTTTCCCATCAGGATTTTCATGAGGTTTAGGGAAAGACATATAACACATCTACCATGCTTAGAAATGATTCAGTGAATATTATTAGTGGGTACTTACTTTCTTTACCCTCTGTTTCATGACCAGTGTTAAATAAGTAGAGAGACATATTTTTTTAAACAAGGCATCTTTTTTAGTGCATAATTTTTAGGGAATATTTTTTTTAAAGTAGCCTAAAGTCAAGGGTATATTTGCTCCTTTTTAAAAGTTTAAAAGCAGGGAAGACATCTTGCTGTCTATCCTGGAGAGAGATGTCAAGAATGGTTGGGAAACAATGTGCTCACAAACAATGAGCCCAAAGGAGAGGGCAGAAATATTGACCACCCAAAGCAAGTTATTCCTTACCTGTCTGATTTCTGCAGGATCTTGGAGTTGGTAAGACTTCATAAGAAGCCAGTGACCTGGTTTTGGATGGGAAGCATCTGAGTTGTAAAACTCATGGGGTTCTTACAAATGATATGGGAGACTTGCATTCAGAACTATAAAACCTTGGGGCCTTTGCACTACCTAAAGAAAGAGACCACATGACAGAACAAGAGCTACTCAAGTCCTAACTTACCAAAAGGGGGCTCAGGAAGAAAATGTAATTGATTTAAGACAATACAGAAATGCAATTTACAAACTAAAATGTGCAAGAGATGAGGTCATACACACTACAAGTTCAATGATAATAATTATTACTGTTAATGTATTTTTTATATTTTTAACATTTCCGGACATGGGGTATCTTTGCTGTCCTAAAAAAATCTTCTTCTAACTCACATTCCACTGCAATTTAGTAATACAAGTATTACTTGTGAAATGCTGCACTTCTGGAGTAAAACTGAAAACAAATCCGGTCTCTGACATCCTCATAAAAGGGTAAAATGTTCAATGCTAGGTCATAATTTTGAATTCCAAAGAAAAAGGGTAAAGGATACAGTTCCTGCAGTTCCCTTCTCCCATCCAGACATTGAAGTACATGTATACCTTGTGGTAACAGACAAACAAAATCACAAACAAAAACTGCTTCTGCTCTCACAGAGCAGGCATCTGTGTGTGTATGTGAGTGTGCAAACACACATGTAAGGGAGTGTTCTGAACTGCTGATAGTCACAGACCCTTACAATGAGCGAATTAAAGATGGAGGCTATTAGTTCTTGGTATCTTTACCTGAATGCTGTGGGCAATCTCTTCTCTTCCAGCTAAGATTTGGGACAAGGTCTGTGTGCCTAAGACATTTCTCAGAGTGGTCTGAGCCAGCAGAAATGTGGCTTGGTGGACATCATTGACATTAGCCACTGCTGAGACAGCACTATAGATTCTATAATAGACAACACCATCCACCTGCGTAGTCACAGAGTCTCTGGTGAGGATCTGCAGGGTGAGGGAGGGCAAAATCACATACATGTTACTTTCACAGCAGTTGACAAAATGACAGCCATAAGAGCTCTCTTCCCTAGGAAACCATTAATGACAATTTATGCTAGCCATCATCAAAAACATGTCCTGACTTGAATATAATGTGATCCTACCTGATGAAAATATTTCTGCACAGATTTGGTCTCTAATCAACACCTGTAACTTTATCTTGGAGAAGTCTTACATCCCATAGACAGCAGCCCTTGATTTACGAAGGCAAGAATAAGCATTGCCATTTTGAAATGTAATAGTAGCGCCTTTCTGAAGCTCTAGCATCTTCCACTTAACAGACAAAGAACACTCGCTTCCCTGACAATACCTGTGATCTTGGTTTTCACTTTTTAATCTTACTTGGTGATGCAGTTTTTCTTAGAAAACATAGATGGCACCAGAGACCACATTCTATATTCAAGTATAGCAAAATCAAGCTTCATAGAGAGGCTCAGCATCAACCAGTTTGATAATGAGAGATTTCTGGGCAGACGATGGGAACAGAGGCTAGAACTATCCGTTCTACAGCAGAGAAGCCCTAGTTAGGTCATTAAGCCTTCCAAGGGCTCCATGAATGAGTCTAACATTAAGTTCCCTGTCATTCCTGACAGTGATGGGGAGACATCATTGTCGTTTCTTGACTGAGTTTCCTAACTTCTCATCACTTTGCCCTTCCCAACCCTAGGTCCTACCCAATTTTTTTCTCTTTTTAGTTCACTTTGATTATGAGAGGGTAACCCGATTATCAATAAGTTCTATCCTCTTCCTACTCCACAATTATTGTTGTTGGTCAGTTGCTCATAGCATTTCAAGAATTATTATTTGAAATCCAAATGTAGGTGAGCCCTGTACGACCTTTGCTCTGTCCCCACACCCACTCGGCTTCACTGTATCAAATATACACAAAAAATTAAAGTCAAAACCAAAGGTGAATCATGTAGATACTTCCAAAAAATCTTCTGGAAGATGACAGACAGTTTAATATAACCAGTCACTGTCCCGAGTCCAGTGACCTCCCTGTCTCTCCTAAACCTCTGCTCTGTCATCTGCATCCTAGCTTCCCTGCCAAATGCATCTCTCCTCTCAGGCTTTCTCCCACCCAGCCATTCCAAGTTTTCTAGCATTTGGCCTTGACTTCCTTCATTCTCAGTTGCCAAACAAAGCCTGGTATATTCCAAAGCAACGAGGGCAACCCAAGCAGATCCCGGGTGGCTTCAGTTCATCTGTCACCATATAATTTTAAAATGTACACAAAATTTCAGCTGTCCATGGAACAGGAAAGATATAGGTTTTATTTCCAGTAACTCATCTGTAATTTCTTACCTCTTGTGGAGGAATGTTGCAAGTAACTGTTCGAAGATCAACTTTGACAAATATATCTATACAGGGCAGGATCAGGATCAAACCTATAAAGAAGAAAACTGATTTAATGTCTTACCCTATTGAAAATACTTGTAATAAAAAGTCTCTGGCTAAATAGTACAGCATTTTCATGAAGTTATCTGTGTTCCTCAGATAAATTTTGATTGGAGCATATCTAACTTTGGAGAAAATGAGTTCTCCCTATCAGTCAGTGACTGAAGAAAAATAGTTGCTTAGAAATTAAAATCTTTTACTTTCATTCAAGTCTTCTTTTGACATTAATTTAAAAGAATATGGATATTCATTTCTACACAATAAAAAACGATATAAAAATATCAAGCGATAGATTTTGCCCTTGAATATTGATGACTATCTATATTCTCAGAATCTTCAACTGTACTGCAAAACTACTGAACTAAAATATTCACAGGGCTTCAGATTCCCTGAATGGTACATTGCTGAATCAACAGTTTCTCCATAGCTGTGTTCTGGTCCAAGTACAACAGTGTCCCCCTACTGTAAGCGTCTTTACTCCTCTCTGAGTCATGAAGTGTTGGGGTTAGGGTTTGTCAAGGAAGGATGGACATAAGAAAATTCATTTGACACCTTAGCATTACCCTAAAAATTGTTCTTTCTTTACTGTAGGAGTTATAAGAATTAGAATTACAATGCTTGTCAACAAGATGGGAACACTAATCTATTTTCATTTTCAGGAAGGTTATATTACTATTATTGTCTTCAAAGCAAAAACAAGTTTTTAGTTTGAGTACCATGGGAAGAGCCCATAGCATGACAGAGAACACTACCAGGTGCTTTCTTTCTTTTGGTCTCCAAACCTTTCTGAGACATGGCAAGAATTACTGATTACTTTTCTTTCATCTTTGGCGGCAGGTCATCATAGTTAAGGTTCATAGCCCTGAGAAATAGGAAGTGTTAGTGCGTTTGCAGTAGGAATCAGTCCACTAGCTTTTCTGAATTTCACTTTCCTAATACATACACAAAGCTAGTGAAAAGAAAGCATGAACCAACATGCTAATGAAATAAAGCCCCAAACACAGTGACCAAAAAGTGGTAGCTCTTATCATTAATACTTTTATTATCACAGAATAATAAGCAATTTGTAAAAGGGTTTTCCATTAATAATTTGGCTTGTTTCCCTCTGGTCCTTATGACATTCTGAGGTAAGTCATTAGCCCCAGGGACATGTATGACGAGAGTTGTTATCCTGGGACATTTAGTAGTGAAATCTTCAGGGAAAATTAATTTCAAAGAGATACATTTGTACCTAGAGTTCTCCAAGTCATGGCTGTTCTGCCTCTCTTAGCTCTATTTTTTTTTTTTTTGAGGTACAGGGAATACAACTCAGGACCTTGCACTTGCGAGGCAGGCACTGTGCCACTAAGCTAAAGTCCTGGCCCTCTTAGCTCTATTTTGATTTTAATTTATAATCTGAGCCCCATCACATAGAGTATGACTGGGAGACATAACTTTCTCTTTTAATCCTCTGTTGGATGATGCTTATACTTCTGTCTTGATAATCTCGTAAGAACATCTTTGATAAGCAATTCTTGCCCTCATTTCCTTAGATTCTTAGACAACTAAGGTCACACTACTTGAAATAGCTAAGCCTCATTTACAGACTTTGCCTTTGGAAGTTGCTTGTATCTTTTTCACAAAACAGGTATCTGAACACCATAAATGGGGACAGAAAACAAGTCTTGTCAGAGAAATATAATTCATAGCCATTGTTTTTCATGAACTTTCTAAAACAATTTTTGATAGATCTTCTCAAAAATATTAGAGTTAATCATCATTCTTATAAGTCAAAACAAACATGAATAATTTTGTAGGGTCCGACTAAACATACACTAAGAGAAGTTATAGTAAATCAAAATCTTATTTCTGGGGAGTTTCAGTAACTGACACCCATCCTCACCCTGTTCCCCCCAAATCCTTTTGTTTTTGGTACCGGAGATCGAACTCAGATCCTTGCGCTTGCAAGGCAGGCGGCAGAACCACTGAGCTAAATCCCCTGCCCCCAAAATCCTTTTATAATATGGACAATTTGAAATATTTTTTCCAAAGATTGTAAAGATGGAAATAAATGCCGCATTTGGTGTTATAAAGCCTAAACATTCATCTTTACCTCCAACTGTAAGGATAATGATCAGTAAATCATTACATCTATGTTGACCTCAAGTTCTTTATTTTAAGAACCAGAGGACTTGACAAAAGGAGTTGTACGTTGGTTTCCAGTTCTGTCTATTAATCAATTTACAATAAGAAGAAATTATCTTTTGTTTTCCCAGTAGTCCTTTTTAAAGAGGCAGAATAAAAATCTAGCTCTTTGAACACTCTTTCTGAGTAACTCAATGGTCTATATGGACCATTTACTGTCTCTTCATTCTCCCAATATGCTCTTAGTAGCCCCGGAATAAATAACAAGTAGCAGTGAAACTGCCATTCATTGTTCATTCACCAGACTTCTCACAGGAAGTGTTAGGAAACAGGTTCAGGTTTCTAAACTGTCACACTGCTGGCCATTCCCACTAACTTGCAAAACATGACAACGTCCTTCCACTGTACAGAGAGGCGGGGGCTCGAGCTCTGATGATCTTTCTTTGACTCTCCATAGGCGCTGCCAGGAAGAGTATTGGTGATTGAAGCAGTAGTAAGAGGTACCCATGATCTGTGACAGGGGCAGCCACAGTGTCATACCTGGTCCCTTGGCTTTATCAGCTTGGATGCGTCCCAGTCGGAATACAACAGCACGTTCATACTCCTTAATGATCTGAGAGATTAAGTGACAGCATTTAGTCTTAATGGCTCCTCAGCTTATTTGGAGAGCCCCATATACTTCCCAGGGTGTTACCTTCAAGCACATCCATATGGAGATGGGAAAGGTAATAATCATCAACAGGAAAGAAAGAGAAAACAGAATCCAGCCACATACACCAAGCCGGTTTTTGTTGATGCCTAAGAAGTGAGAAAGAAGTAAGCCTGTAAATGATGTGATTCCTAGAAAAGCCATGGTGCTGAATATGTGAGGAATTTGTCCAGACAGCTGGTCAAACTTGATGCTACAGAGAAGGAAACCTAAATTCACTCAAACTCACAAATGCAGTTAAACACACGTGCACACACACACAAATGGTATTTCCTGTTTTTAGAAATTAAAATTGATCTATCCCTTTCAAGATATTTCAGAGTAACAAACAGCAATTCTTTCCACTATATTTCTATTGGGCTGACATGTATATTATTCTCAAAACACGTAAAACAATGTTTCTCAGAATGTAATCTAGGGACCATCTGTACTAGAGCAATCACATTCATGGGCCCCATAAATTCTCCAGGTGAAATTCAAAATGACCCCCAAAGTAGATCGGTAGGCACTATTATCCTGAGAAGGAGACAATGTAGCACGTGGAAAAACATTTTGAAGAGCCTTTAGGTATGAGTTTCTGTGTCAGTACCTTCATTTATCAACTGTTTGACCTTAACAGTCTCTCTAGGTCTCCCTTTCTTCATTTCTAGAATGGGAATCCAAAAGTTACCTACCTTGGAAGCTTTGATGAGGACTAAAAAGAAATTAATTTTATATTCCTTCTGACCCATGCATTGACATCTGCATTAGTAAACACACATTATTACTATTACCCTGCTTTATATTTGGATAGGAATTCCAGGGATTTGTCAGATCTTGATATTTGACATTAATGACTTTTCATGGAACTCAGTAGTGTTGGTTCATCACATTAGATGTCTTTTTGTTGATAATACATTATGATAGTAGGAGGATTTGGCTTAATAAATACTGCCATGCAGTAAGACAGAATTGAGTTCAAGTCCTGCCTCAACCACCTAAAAATTTTAGTCGTATCAATACATAATTTCTCAAGTCTCAGGATTTTTGTTGGTAAAACATGCATGTCAAGCTGCCTAGTTTTAGAATTCTTCATATTTACCATTTTACCTCTTTTTTAATCCTCATTCTATATTCCCTTCTCATTGCTTTTACAAACAAGGCTGTGTTAACCGGGCTTGTATGTGCCTTACTGATAAATATATATTTTCCTAAAATCTTGATACAAGTGCCCCCCACCCTGTTCTCCCTACATGTCTCCCAATTAAGTCACATTCCCCACATGAACACCAGAACTACTAGGTAACACTATACTTCTAGATATCGCCACCTAAGGAATCCTACAAATACCATATGGTGCCTATATCTCAAGTATTCCTTGAACATTCATCTGATTGCCCAGGCTGGAGACTTGGGTCATGATGGTCTTTTCCTTGCCCAACTGTCAGCATCACTAACACCAAATGATACCACTTCAAATCCATCACCACCAATCCATTTCACTGGGACCTAATTTCCTTTCATAAGTATGTGTTTGCAAATCATGCTGTTGACAATCATCTAGGGGAGTAGGTACATATACATCATACATCTGGATTCTTTTTTTATAATCCCCTTTCCTCCTGCTCTAAATCCCCTTTCATCATTTTCACTCTCGTTGATATTATTAATCCTATTTCAGGTTTATGACATATAATCTTTAAAGTTATTGAGATTATTAGGTTCTTGTACATGGCATAGCTTTATTCTACTTATTTTCCCTCCTTCCCTTCCCCCTCTTCTCTCACCCTTGGTCTCCAGGACCCTTTCCCTCTTCCCATTTGTCTTGTTCTATCCATCCTTTATTGTGCTCTTTGTTTGTACTTTTGAATATTTAGGCAAGTTCTAAGCTTTTGCTCTTGGACAAACATTGTTATAATGAATGTTTCTAAATGTCTGTTTTTATGTACTTACTTATGTAGGATAAATTCCTGGCAGTGGATATGTTAAGCAGAAGGGATTAATATTTGTCATTCTGATAGATGGTAAATGTCCTTCAAGGAGTTGATACCAACCTGCACCCTCACCCACAGGACACATATGCCTTTTTCCACAAGTCATATCCTCCTGAAATTATGTTAGACTTCTTGATTGTTATATTCTGAGAGGTGAAAAGTACGTTTAGATGCATGATTTAGTATTAAAAATTTTTTTTTTTGGTACTGGAGATCAAACTCGGGTCTTGCGCTTGCGAAGCAGGCAGCAAAACCACTGAGCTAAATCCCCGGCCCTAAAATCTTTTTTAAAGTACTCAGAAGGCAACCTGATTTTGCCACCTTGGTGTGTTTCTGCCTGCTGACACTGCCATATTTGATATTCAGACACCTTGGGGGATTCTGGGACCTGATGTTTTCAGTACAGCATGCACAAGCAACTGGAATTCCAAGGAAGATACAATCTACACTTTTGCCCTGTGCCATGCCCTACACATTTTCAAACTAGTCTCAGGCTTAACACCAAGCCATATGAAGAATTTTTGTCACAAACTTCCCTGACGAGCAGGAGCTCCTCTCCGACCTCACCTTTGCATCATTACATGTGGGCAGCAGACTGGGGTCTGTTGTACTAAGCATGCTGAGAAAGAAAAGAGAGATGAAAACCATCCAAGATTTACACTCGATTAGAGTCACCAAGTCCACCAGCTTCACTGAGAACTGATGGGTGTCATTAGCTGCTGTTTACAGTGGGACAGTGAGTACAACTGTCAGCCTCCTTGAAGGATCTGTAGCTCAGTGTCCCGAGCTCTTTCAGCCCTCAGGACTGAGACCACAAAATGCTGCTTTGCAAGCTTTCCCTCTGGTGTCCATCCTATACTTAAGACCAGGATGCTGTGCTGAGACCTGCATTTGAGGATTACAGTTCTGGCTCAGAGGAATTTTTTTTTTTTTTTTGCAGTGCTGGGGATCGAACTCAGGACCCTGAGCTTGCTTGTGAGGCCTGCACAGTGCCACCAAGCTAAATCCCCGGCCCAAGAAATGGGGTTTTTTTTTCAGTTACAAAAGACCTTCAGAAATTTCCCATACTGCCTTCCTGTCAATTTGTACAAGGCTCCTGCCAGACTCTTTTCTTGAGGCTGATGGGAAGAAAAACCTAAGCCCTGACCACATCTAATCATCTGGTGTAGCCAAATCCACAAATAGGTATTTTCTGTGGACAACTGTCACTTAAATTATAAAGCCATTCTATATGCTTACTCCTGCTAGAGAACTGGCTTTTGCTGCCTTCCAGAAATTGCCCCTAATTTCTCAGTAATTCGTTTAACAAATACGCTACCAACTACATGCCAGACACTGCTAGCTCTAAAGCTAGCTCTAAGGAGAATAAGATGTGGGACTTGCCATCAAGACTTCAAGTCCAGGAGGGAAAAGAGACAATAGGGATAAATATCACTGATCAGTACTTTGTTATGCTTACTTCTAGGAGGTCTACAGCTCAGGAAGTAAGTAGAGACTTCCTTGTGTTCATGGCTATGAAAAAGAACAGAAGAATGCTTAGCCAACACCTTCCTTTAAAAATGAAAGGGAAACTTAGAGCCATGACATAGGAACCTGAGGCCCAGAGCCACTGACAAAGGAGAAAGACCCAGAAGCTTGAGAGACTTTGAGATGACTAAGGCCAACCCTTCATTTGCAATCAGAACTTCTTGATTGTTGTTTTCATCACCATCTTATTCTCCCTCTAAGGCAACCACAAGTTCTACAGACTAATTGTCTGCCTTTCCTGACTTCAGAAGGAAGGCATAACCAAGCTTCACTTGGCAAGGCGTGCCCCTGAGCACTGTTACTCGCACTGAGGTACCACACTTTGTGCTTCAGAGTCTCAAATACCCTTCAGGCCCTGGAATAAACACTCAAGGAAGCATTTGGTTCTTTCACAAGGATGAAAGTGGGAAGAATATTCCAAATCTCTAGCCTCCCCTGGATAATATTAGAACTAGAAATGAATCATAGTAAATAAAAGAGGCTAAGTGACTTGGTTGTTTATTTTCCAACTTTGGCTTGATCTACGGCATTTAAATGTTAGGTAACACTCATAAAATATTTGATCACAGGCATGTATATAGTACTAGTTAGAAGAAAAATAGTATTATTATAGTATTATTATAGTACTATTCACTAGAAAAAGTAATTTAGGTATTATAACATTTTTAAACACCAGAATAGAATCATGCAAATTACACATTAGGGAAATGAAAGTGAAAACCACAACTGAGATACTGATACACAGTTCCCAGAAAGCAAACATTACAGACTAACAATACCATGTTTTACCAAGATTATAGCGTGCTCACATATGCTACTGGGAAGACACATTGGTAGGATCAGCCAAAAACCTATTCAGAAGTATCTACTAAAGCTAGACACATACCTACTGTTTGAATCAGTATGATTCAACTGGTAAATGGTACCTGAGAGAAATGAGCTGACGGTAAAAAACATGTCCAAAAACATTCATTGCCATCTTATTCATAAAAGGCAAGAAATGAAAAATCAACCAAATCTCTCCACAGTCAGATGAATAAAAAAAGTTGTGATATATTCATACCAAGGAGTATTACTCAGCAAGCAAAAGGATAAAACTACTGCCATCTGCAAAATGTGGATGAATCTCATGGATGTGACATCAGGTGAAACAAGCCACATCCAAGAGTACCTACTTTCTCATTCCATGTATAAGATTTGGCTTAGAGTGTGTGATTTATTAAATGACAACAAGCTACTATGACTGAAGTCATAGGAGTAGCTATCTCTGGATAGTGGGGTTGTTGGTAGTTGAAGTATTAACTGGGGAGGGACATAAGAGAGACTTTGGGGATGCTGGACCTGTCTGTGTTGATTACATACACTTCTACACATTGAGGAAATAAGTAAGGCCAATCAAATGTGAAAAGCAAAAGCTATTTATTCAGAACTTGCTAAAGCAATGAGTAAGCCAGCATCACTTGTTTTCGAGCAGGCACAGGAGTGGTGAAATGATATAGTGGAAAGTAGGGAAGGCTCAAGAGTGTCCTACGGGGGTGGCTGGTATGGAAAAGCTGCAAGCAGGCTAACCAGGAGTGGGGCGTTCTGTGGGGACTAGTTAGGGGCTGTATTTGGTTTTCTCTGGTTGGTTCTAAGTTGGAAACAGGGATAAAAGTTAGGGAAGCTGTAAGTCATTAATTGAGTCCTGGCCATTTGGGGCTGATTCTTACAAAAGTTGTTGTCTAGCTTCCTGGATTGTTGCTAGAGACAGCAATCTACCTCCTGCAAGTCTGACATGTTGGAGGCTGTCTTCTGGGGTTGTTGATCCAATCCAACGGGATTGGTTTCTTGGGCAAGTTGCTGCAGGTTGTTGTTCAGAGCACTGTTTTCATACACAGTCTGGTCACTGTCCATTTGCACAGTCAGTCTCCCAAGCCAAGCGCTTAGAACTTGTGCCCTTTACTGTGTGTATGTCATATAACTCACATAAAAGCCAGAGTACATTAGCCAGTTCTGAGGATGAAAAATTTACAGCTTGTGCTACATTCTCAGAAAGAAGAGAGTAAAAAGCCTATGGCAGAGCCAGCCTGTGGGCAGACTGGAGTCAGGCAATGCAGGCCTAGAGTCAGTGGATCTCACCTTCTGAGCCAGACAACTCCACTTTGAAGCCACATGTCATCTCATAAGTCACTTAACTTGCTTACATCTTGGTTTCCTCCTCTGTAGGATGGCAACAATAGCTAACTTGAGAATTAAGAGGAAATAATACATGTAAGGAATCATGAGTCATACGATGAGGCCTTCTCATCATCCTTCAATGGCCTAGCATTCTTCAGAGGTGAGCTTTGACCAAGATGGCCTTAGAGCCCTCAGCTTGACTCGACCTTTGACAGGCTTCTTTTTTTTTTGCTCTAGGCCCTTGACTATCGTTTTCTTGGAGAATATTCTTTAGAAAATTTGTCACTGTGAATTTTTTTTTTTTTTTGAGACAGGGTCTCCCTCCGTAGTTCAGGCTGGCCTTGAACTCACTATGTAGCCCAGACTGCCCTCAAACTCTGAGCAATCCTCTTGCCTCAGCCTTCTGAGTGCTGAGATTACAGGTGTGCACTATCACGCCTGGCTTGTGAATTCTTTCTATGTCCCTTTGACATTAGAATCTTTTAAAAATTCTCTTCCCAGTTCTATAACCTGAGACTATCTTTCTCAAGGACTTAGAAGCTATCCTTTGGAACACAAGCATCAAGGAAGATAGGCCTGTATCTCCCAGTTTCTGTGGGAAATAGAAGCCTAACTTGGATGGGCACCTTTCTCCAAGTTGTAAAGCTACCTCCTGCCATGAAGACAGGAGAAATACATTAGTAAACACACATGGTAGATGGCCTCCCACCAAGTTCCTCCAGGCATTTTCTCCTGGCTCACCTCAGCCTTTAAAATCCCCACCATCCTTTGTCTCTGGCAAGTTGATTCAGCCTCTGTTACAACAGATGTAAATAAACTCTTCCTTGCTTGTTTATTGAGCTATAATTCATGTACAATAAAAGTAACTAAAGTTGTGTGATTCTGAGGTTTTGAGTACATTCACAATGTTGAACAACCATCACCACTGTCTCATTCCAGACCAGTTCCCATGCCATCAGCAGCCTTTCCCCACTCTCCCATCCCCTCAGCCCTTGGCAACCACTGACCTACTCTCTTTCTCTCCATAGGGTAATGACTCTTCTGTATGTGCAAGAAATGCATTTTCAATAATATACAGTGAAACATTTAGACCCCTGAGGATTTTTACCTGCTAAAGTAATCTGGCAAATGACATTATAAACTCTTTGAGATAGCATTTGAAACCTTAAAAAAAGAAAATAGAGATACCTTTGCAGAACTACTAAATCAGAACTGGGTGGTGATGTTATTATTCATGATAAACCTTCAAGTACAATATTCCCCTGTCCTGAGAGCCTTCTAGACCATCGGATTTACATTTCAACTCCAGAACAATGATCGGTGCCTACTTACATGAACTTTACAACATATTTTATACTGAGTTCCTTTTTACCATTTGCTCTTTTCTTAAAGATTTACTTAAGATATATTTTGAGATAGAACATTCAAAAGGTTGGAAAAGGAATAGATTTGATACCTACATCCACCATTCAGCTTAAGAATTTTAGTGTTGCCAACACAATTCAAGCCCCGTGTGTCTTAATTCATGACAACGCCCAACACCACCACCAGAGTCTTGCCCAGCAGCTTTCTCAAGAGGATTCTCATTTCCAGCAGCTGAACTCAGCAGCAACTCCCAAGCCTGCCACTCAGACCAGACACATGTCTCTCAGCACATGGGGCCTTCAGATTTTTAGGTGCCAAAGCTTTCGATGGTCTCCATTTAAGGGCAAAGTGACTCCAACAAGAGAGCCAAGACACCCATGAATAATGCAGAAAACCATTCATGTCTTCACACATCTTTTGCGCAGCCCTCTGTATTCTCTGGTCCCTCCTTCTCCCTGTCATCCAGCCTCTTGGCTCAGCTCAGACATCTTCCTCCTCTAGGAAGTTGTTTCTCTGTAACTCTCACCCCTACTCTTGGCTGCTCTTCTTTTGACTTTCTATACACCCACTATCATCACCTTTCATAGTTCTTTGTCATTCTGAGCTAATTTCTTTGTGTTCCCTATAAATTATTAGTGCTTTGAAAGCAGGTATCTTATTTATGTTGCCACCTCATGAACCACAGTGGATGCCAAATGAATAGTGAAGGGTACACTTTTTCCCACTTTGAAGTATCAGAATGAGGCTCAGCAACATAGATATTTGGATCTGTTTGAATATTCTTGTGTGGAAATAATGATCCATCAGATGAGACACTGTTTTCTCTCAAGAGAGTCAATTAACCTGAGAACCATATGCCCTTGCATGTTCTCCTTCATACTTTGTGCCTTACTGTACCCTCACCCCCACATCATTATGAGAAGAAAATAAAGAGAAAATGTTTTTCTTGCATCATTCTCCTCTGTCCCCATGCTCCACTCACTTTCAATTCTTTGTTTGAAATGACAGCATTGCTAGCCACAAGCACAAATACTTTGCCCTTAAGATTTATGCCCAGGGGCTGGGGACACAGCTCAGTGCTACAGCATTTGCCTGACATGTGTGAAGATGCCCTGGTATCCACCCCCAGCGGCACCAAAAAAGATTTATACTCAAACATTCTCATGATAGTTATCATGTGGTAAATAAAAAACATGCTGAAGTATAACAATGGAAAAATAATTAAGTGAACCATGCATGATCCATCCACACAATATCATATTATTAATATTTTTTTTTTTTTGCAGTACCAGGGATCGAACTCAGGACCTTGCGCTTGCAAGGCAGGCGTGGTGCCACTGAGCCAAATCCCCGGCCCCTATTAATAATTTTTTAAAGTTTATGGAAGCATAGGAAAATCATCAGTTAAGAGAAAAAATAGAAGGATATAAAATTATATAGCAAGTAGGATCCCAATTAGAAATAGATACATAAAAAGAAACTTGGTAAAAAATTAGTGAACAGTGGTTTATTCAAGCTACAAATAGTGGTTATTTGTTTGTTTGGGTTTTTTTGGCAACAGGGTCTATGTAGCCAGGCTGGCCTTTAACTCATGCCAATCCTCCTGCCTCAGCCTCCCAAGTGCTGGTTTTACAAGTGTGTGCCACCATGCCTGCATATACAGTGGTTATTTCTGAGTGGTGGAAATATAGTGGTTCTGAGATTTCTTAATTTTTTATGTTTATGATTCTGAACTTTCTTAATTTTGATACATTTATAATTTTTAAAGTAAATTTTAAAAATATGTCGAGTAAAAATGTTCCTTGTGTTTCCAGAACAAGAAAAAACAAATCCTTCCCAGGAAGAAAATAAAGGGTGTGGAGTGAGGGCAATCACCTTCCCCGGGTTTGGGGACTAAGTGGTAACAATGCTCTCTATCCTCTTCCAATCCTGTCAGCACACTTTAGCAACTCCTTGGTTCTTTCTATAGAGAATCAAGGACTATGTGGATCAAACAAAGTCTAAAGTCGAGTCCTAGGGGTAAACACTATCTCTTCATCATCTCTAGTTCATTTTCCCCTAGTCTTTTTCTCTGAAATAAGCACACAGTTTACTTCAAAGAACAGTTTT